GCTAATTTGTTCCCTCAACAGAGCAAATAGTGAGAGATGATTTCCCCAGGAGTTAAGGACATATGTAAACATGATTCAATGATGTCAACAGCTTTCAGTCCAAGAATGTCGTGGAGGGGGATCAGCCTTTCATCAGAACAAGTTCAAGGTTTCTGACATTCCTTTTTCCGAACTTTTGATTTGGGTGCTGTGAAAAGAATAGAAAAGAAAAAATGAAAGAGGTAGGCCCTTGTCAAGTCTCTTCACACTGATTTGTCTTAAGTGAGGTTACATTATGTACAGCAGGGGAAAACTGACCATTTGGATTTTCCTGTTTGTAGAAGGTCTTTAACATTTCCACTGCTTCCTCGGCCCGATATCCAGGAATGCACTGATGAAATGAGAAAACTGAGAATGAATATCGGCCTATGAAAATGTGGCCTGTATCCCATAAACACAGCAATGTATACATAATTACAGAAACTTATTTCAGATAACGTTAATACACTTTGGGAATAGCAGTAATGCGGGTAAGGAAATACATTACGAAAAGAATAGACGTATGGACTCACCATCACTCCAATCAACTATTATTCCTCAAGTACTATTGAAGTTACTAGCTATGTGATCTTCGGTACGATAGTTAAACTCTCTGCCTCAGCTTCCTCGTGTATAAAATGTAGGTATAATTATAGCACTTACCTCAGAGGGATTTCATGAAGATTAAATAAGATTGCAAAAATAACACCTATTACATACCTGGCACATCGTAAGTGTTTGTTAAGCATGAGCTATTTCTATCTACTGTTATTTACTAGGGGCCCATCTTGGGGTCATGAGGTTGGGCCCCGTGTGGGGCTCCGTGCTTAGCGAGGAGTCGGCTTGAGATTCTCTCCCCGTCTGCCCCTCCCACTTGTGCTCTCTCTCTCTCTCTCAAGTAAATATAAATCTTAAAAAAAAAAAAATGTTCAGTTTGATCTATCTTTGGTATCTAACTAGAGGGAAGGGATCAATACGTGAAAGAATAAGAAACTATGATAATGGTTAAGGAATGAAATTACATGAAATATCACATGAAGATGAAATTTGAACTTGCCTTCAAGATAGCAAATATTTGAGGTGTCTAGTGGCTCAGTCAGTTAAGCGTCTTACTCTTGATTTAGGCACAGGTCATGATCTCAGGGTCATGAGATCGAGCCCTGAGACAGGCTCCCACTGGGCATTGAGGCTGCTTAAGATTCTCTCTCTCTCTCTATCCCTCTGCTCCACCCCCCAACTCACACACAAGTGCACGTGCGCTCTCTAGAATAAATAAAAATTAAAAATTAAGAAAAAAGAAAATATTTAAAGACACTGAGCAGAGCGTTTCAGGGAAAGAGTAAGAATAAACTTGGGCTATGTGAGGAAACCAACTAATGAGGGGTTGGGGGGCCTACAGTGAAAGAATTAGATAAAATGAGGTCAAAATATACAGGGCTTTGAAGGCGTGTCACAGGAATTTGGACTTGATACACTGCATCCTTCTAAGGTGCATGAAATGATAAAATGGACAGCGATTCCAGGGAGGAACATCCAGAAGTAGCCACAGGAGGGGAAGCAGGTAATGAGCACCAGCACAAGGGCCTGGTCAGTGTGGTCTACTGCTCAGAAAGAACCTCCCTTTCTCTAGTGCCTTCAGTCAGCTCTTACCTGGGCCTATAAAGCCTGCATAAACTTTCCCCATTAAAAGAAATAACCTTTCGGAGTTCGATGTTTTTAGATTGCGCATGTAAGTGAGATGATACAGTATTTGTCTTTCTCTGACTTATTTCACTTGGCATAGTGCCCTCAAGGTCCATCTGCATTGTCCCAAATGGCAGAATTTCCTTCTTTTTATGGCTGAATATTCTATTGCATATATATAATGAAATATATATATATATATATAAGTTTTCTTTTCTTTTTTAATTTTATTTTATTATGTTAATCACCATACATTACATCATTAGTTTTTGATGTAGTGCTCCATGATTCATTGTTTGTGTATAACACCCAGTGCTCCATTCAATACGTGCCCTCTTTAATACCCATCACCAGGCTAACCCATTCCCCACCCCCCTCCCCTCTAGAGCCCTCAGTTTGTTAGAAGCAGAGAGTAGAATGGTAATCGCCAGGGGTGGAGGGGTGGAGTTGGGAGGAAATGAATAGACCGCTGATCCAAGGATACAAACTTTCAGTTATAAGGTAAGTTCTGAGGATCTAAGGTACAGCATGGTGACTAGTTAACAATACTATATTGTGTACTTGAAAACTGTTAAGAGAGTAGAGTTTAAATGTTCTCACCATAACAACAACAAAATGGTAATTATGTGAGGAAAATGGTGTGTCAACTAACTTTATTGTGGTAAACATTTCATAATCTAAACATCTATCAAATCATCACATTGTATATCTTAAATTTACACATGTTATATGTCAATTATATCTCAGTAAAGCTGGGGGAAAAAAAAAATCCCAATAACCTTCCTTCCACCCTGCCCCTCAGGCAAGCTGCTACTCTGCTAGTCCCTGAGAACATTCCAGACTCCTGACTGTTGCTTGTGTGACTCTCATTTCCTCCTCAACCTCATCCTCACTGGCTTGTGCTTCCAGATATTCCAAAGGCCCCTACTGACCAAAACAATGGTTCCCTTTCCAGCCTCCTCAATTCTCTGCAGTTGTGGAGACCATTGACCATTCTCGATTCTTCTTAGCACTCTCTCCTCCCTTGGCTTCTCAGTTCTCATAACCTTCTCAGATCATTCTAACCATGGTGGGTCAGTCCCCTTCTCCTCATGCCACATTAAGTGTTCATGTTCCTCAGAGCACCCGCCTCTCCTCATGCTCTCATGAACACTAGCACAAGACACTCTCCTCTACTATGAAGTTAGACCAAAGGTCCTCCACCTTGGCTGCTCAGTGGAATCACCTGGGAACTCTGTGGGCTTATGACTGAATGCCTGTAAGTCAGAATCCCACCCAGGTGGAAGATAAGATAGTGACATGGATCCTCGGTTGCCCTCCGATAGCCAGTCCCCCTGCTGTCCCAGCCCAAGGCTGCCTACGTGACCCCCCCTACCCCCACAGTCCCGTTTGTACAAGGTCTGGTATGGTGAGCCCCTCCTCCTGGGAAACAGGGCAAAGCCATAAAAGGGGCCTGTCCCCTCGCCCATCACCAATGAATGTTCATGGAAAACCTGCTTCTGGGTAAAGGGTTTCCCATGTAGCAAAGCAGCTCCCTCCCTGCGATCTACTGAGAGTCAGCCCAGGACACAAGGGTTTGTGAAAAACAAAACTAAAAAAGAAAAAAAAATGTACTAATATTCTCTTCTACCCTTTCGCCTTCCTATCCAGTTGATCTGGGGTGGGGACCTCCCACAGCCACACGTAAAAGCTCTGTAATATGCAGTCCAGGATGAGACCCACTGAGTTAAAAATGGGGAAAGAAACTGCATCACTCTATGATACCAAGATACTTTCAATTATCCATTATAGCTACAAATTTGTGGCTTTAATAAAAAGCACACATTCTTATTAAACTTTTAAAAACGGACCAGGTATGTATTATAAGGTAATCACCATCTTCTTTGAAAAGAATAGTTCTGTAGGTATCCTCTATGAGCTTAATGCTGCTTATAATACAGCATTAAATAATTCTATGATTCTTTAATATAAAAGCAGCATCCCACCTCCCACAGACTCTCCCACCCAACCCAACCCAATAAGGAAGAAAACACAGGGTCCAGAGACTTAAGGTATCAGTGTTTTCTTTAGAATCTCAAACACTTTAAAAAAAAAAAAAACAAAACATAATTTGGCATCCAACCTGGAGATATGGCTTCAAACAATGGTCATTCATTTCCCTGGAGCCAATTTGGCCAGGTACACACATTACAAACAAGCTTATTCTTCAGTTCACCCTGTGCAGAAATATGTAGGAGAGGATTGTGTATGCACCCAATGTCACTCATGTGTTGGAGAGAAATTTTCTACCCATGTCTGATATCCAAGGGCACATCTTTGTTCTGCCCAGAAGCTTTGAGAAATTCTTTAGCTCTTTCTCATAAACAAAGTACAGAGTCAGCAATTTACTTGCAAAGAGTTATGTAAGCAAAATTTGAGCCACCGATATAAGTGACTGGAAAAATCAAATCACTTTGCACATTTTTTTTAATGGTCAAGCTGACTGTATTGTTTACTCTCCATCGTTTTATTACAATTTATTTTCTGATGTGATGTTAAAAGTCATCTATTCTCAAATGTACAGAAGTTGTTAGGAAAGCTAATGTTCGGCTGGGAAAACTCAAAATGGAATGTTTTCCAAAACTTGTTGTCAGTGGGATTCAGCCAAATTTAGCCCTTCATAGGTACTCAGTATTCTCCTAAGAATATCTGAGATCTTTGAAGTTAACTGCACACCATGTCCAGCATTTATTAAATCCTTTTCTTTTTAAAGCATAATATTTCAGGATTAACCTTAGAAAAAAAAATCAAACCAGTTTGCGAAAAATGCTATGTGTCTACAGGACAAACTCTGAAATATCAATTCCTAACGCTCATAGCCATAAACATAAAAACTTGGGGACAGGTGGCAAGATTAAAGGGAAAGTAGGATTTTTAAGAGAAGATGAAAGCAATGTGGATTCTTGAGTCTGGGGGAAATTTCAATTTTGAAAAGGCAGGGGGGAAAAATAATGAAAATACAGGTATTAATGCTAGACACCAAAAATAGTACACAGAACAGGGATGCCTGGGTGGCTCAGTCGGTTAAGCATCTGGCTCGTGGTTTCGGCTCAGGTCATGATCTCAGGGTCCTGAGATCGAGCCCACATCGAGCTCTACGCTCAGTGCGGAGTCTGCTTGTCCCTCTCCCTCTGCTCCTCCCCCCATGCTCTCTCTGTCTCTCTCATAAATAAAAATAAAATCTTTAAAAAAAAAATAGTACATAGCAATAAAGCAAAACGATTGGCTTTGTGCAAAAACATTGTGTGTGCACCGTAAACAGTATCTACGGTGCAGCAGGGGGCTGGGGACACTCCCTGAGTGAGAATGACAACACGGACAGCGTCCCCAACATTCCTGAGCGCATCAGTGAGGGCTGTCGGGAGATCCCTGGGAAGGCCAGGGATCTCCTTCTGGAGAGATTCTGCTCATTAAGAGAGCCAAGCTCTCACCTGGAAGTGATACCTGTCTTCTTCTACTGAGGCACAAATGAACGTGATGGGAGGTCCCAGAGTCAGACTGGTCCCAGCATGGCTTTTTGGTATACTGACCGCACGTGAACTATTCCCACGAACTAATCCCACGAAGAGAGCAAAGTAATTAGCAATAAAAAGCATAAACGGGTCACGTTACCTGAAACGGTCTCCCCGTATTCGGTAGATCAGCAGAGGCGATATTTAGAACGGAGCCACAGCCGCCAAACCGTTCGTTCTGACAGCCATACACAACCAGCGGGATTTATGCGAAAGAATTAAGGTCCTGAAGAGAGTGCAGCTCCAGTGCGTACAGTGACAAAACCAGGCCATCCTGGACAGACAAGCTCAGGCTACTTTTAAAAACAGTTAAGCTTAGGCTTAGTCTTAAAAATCACACAATCCAGTCGCACAAAAGAAGAGGTTTAAAGGATTTAGAGATGAACATCTCACAACTGCAAATAATGAAAACCGAATACACAGTTGCTAAAAGTTTATAGTTTGGTGCTCTCTCTTGTCTTTCCTAACTCACTTTCTTTGAGTCATTAGAGAATTGGAGCCAGAAAGGAAGTAGGAATTTAATCCAGGGATTTTTCGCCTTTTAAAAACAGGATTGTCCCCTAATCTTTTGCCGAATAAAATATAACCCGTGCCCCAATATAAAACAAACTAAAACTGAGCCACCGTCTAAGGCAGGATGGGGACAGAGCTCTAAGTTGACCAGAACTCCCCTCTTTACAAAGTAGAGACTGTACCTGTTATACTCAAAACCCCCTGTTATTTTTAAAGTGATAAAATTTTTCACACATAGCAAAATAAGTACATAAAAACTGTCCAAGTATGAAATTGAGTTTTTGAACAAGTGAGTAATTTTTTAAAGATCTTAGAGACAAACTTGCTAACACTCTGTATTTGTGTCGCTTACTCTATGAAAGACACAATTCAAAGAGCTGTAACTTTCTCAATTTCCCATTTATCTACAATTATAACATCATCAGTGACTTGTTTTTTTACCTTATATTTACTTTGGACTTAAAATTTCTCATACATTGTAATTGGTATTAATGGCAAAAATAAACAAAAACATAAAGAGAAAGAAAAATTTTAAATCACCTATGATCTATTATTCAAAGGTGCATATTCTTCAGACCTTTTCTCTGTACAGTTTTATAATCTACTTTAATTTGTGACTTATCCTTACATAAGTTTGTTAGCTCTTAGTTTTTCTTTCTCTAGTTTTATTTGGTTAATAGTTTTACATCTATTGATATAAAATGAAGAAATCATATGATTTAAAAATCCTTCCTAAAAATTTTTTGGCCAAGGGGTACAATATTTTATAACTTGTTTCATAAATCTGTTTTCACATATTAGAAAGCAGGTTATGTGTCTGGCCATTTTCAAGGTTATAGGAAGGGCACACGACATTAACTCACGAAGTCAAAGGATACTCATCAGGCGGAGAGCAGCTGCACACATAATACACGGCTCCACTGTGACATACAGCACAGTGTGTTCAAATACTTCAGAAGGACTCTTGCCACTTCGATGACACCAATCTAGGGCCTGATCGATGGCCACCATTTCTGCATGTCGAGTAGCCTGAAAGGAGAGAGGTGCTTGCATCAACATGTAACTGTATTGTGCAAACGCTCGAAAATAGATACCAAAAAAATGGGCCTAATGTTTCTGCCAACATTTTAATGCATAAAGGTTTTGGGACGCTCTAAGCACTTGGCAATGTATTTCCCAGTTCAAGTCCCATAACCTGACCAACAAAAGACACCTAATAGGAGATGCCGTGAGAATTATGCTATATTTTTAGTTAAACACCTCAGAACCTCAAGGGATGCTCTTTCAATTAAAATGCCATAGAGAATATAAGTCTCAGGGGTTAAAAAAAAAAAAGAGTCTAGGGTTTGTGAATATTCGAGGGGAAGCCTGAAGTCTTCATAAGCATGTGCTCCATTTTCAGATGTTTTCAAGGCTGTCCCTCACTTCACTCTAAGCAAATCTGTATTTAGTTAGTGGAATGTCATCACTTACATTTTCTTTGGGATGAGATTTTATATTCTGGCAGACTCTAGAGAAAAGCAGACATTTGGTATCAGTCTCAGATACCTCATGGGTGGCGTAGAATATAGGAGAAATCACACAGCATTTGCAAATAACCATTCTTAAGTTTGAATCCTGACTGTGACATCACTAATTCTGTGGCCTTAGGCAAGTTACATAACTTCTCTAAGCCTTGGCTCCCCCATATGTAGAACGGGGTTCACTGGCATCTACACCTCATAAAACACTGAATTACAAGAAGCGTATGCTGTGTGCTATCTATGTGCTCTGCTATGCAATAATTATTAAAGATATTCACGATAATCACATCTATCAATAAGCTTATGCTGATTGCTATGTACAAGCCACTGTGCTAAATCCTATGTGAGATTACAAAGTCTGTCCTCAGCAAGTATAAAATCTGGTTGGGGCAAACAGAAAGGCACTCATTAACCTGTGACATAGAGCAGAGTGTGAGAGATGCTGGTGCAGTGGCCCGAGGTGCCATGGAAGCTAGAGGCAGGTGGAAGCAATGCTGGTCCAGAATTACGATCTCAGAGCTGTAAGGTACTTTAGAGAACAGGTTCCCAAACCTGCCTGCATACCAGAACTAACTGGGAAACTTAACAAAAAGTTTCCTCAATTCAGGGGTTTTTTAACAATCAGATTCAGAATTACTGAATCGGATCTCCCCAGAATTCTCAGTAAGTAAGTAACTGTTGAACTGAATCCCTGCAATCAACCTCTCTTTTTTAGAAAATCCAGAGTGGTGTGGTGTCCTGGAAACAAGTAAAGAAAGTGCTTTTTGGTTTTTGGAGTTTTTTTTTTAAAGACTTATTTATTTATTTGAGAGGAGAGAGGGAGAGCAGGGT